TACAGGATGGTGCTCATTTTGGAAATCATAAAGAGTTGTTTATTGAAAATGCAGATATGTTTGAGTCTATTCATGTTTAATTTAACCAAAATCCATTTATATTTAATAATTTTTAAAATTATATTTTATAAAATTATTAATTTATGACATTTTATTAATATACTATAAATTTTTTCTTATATTTATTTTATATATACATTTAATATTATTATAATTTTCTTTTTATTTAATTTATGATTTTTAAAATGTGAGGGCAACATTGTTCCTTTGAGAATATTTTAGGAGCAAAATTGTACCTTAACTTATGGAAAGTGGATCTTACTAGCTACAGTAATGGACGTTTTAACGGCTGGGGCACCATTGCTATAATGAATAGTTTAGGAGCAACATTGCTCCTTCGAGAATTTAAGGGCAAAATTGCTCCTCAATCAAATGTCTTTTCTATTAAGTCCTCCTCAGTTATTTTTTCACCACACAATTTCAACTGAGAACATATTTTAAAAACTCTTGAATTATATTTGCTTACGCTTTAAAATCTTGCAGCCTAAAATGCATCTATTTATATTGGGCTTTAGGTAAAATTACTGTTTTCTAATAGTCATATCTTCAAAACATAAGCATCCTTTTAGAATATTCTACAATTCTATTAGATCTTTTACCATGAGATATTTAGCTTTTAGCCCTTCATGAAGACGATGGTGAAGGAAAATCATTGTCTTGACTTTGTCTTGACTAGTTGCTTCATTTCCAAGTAAAATTGTACTTTCTAGACCTTTGGCATCTAAGTGAATTTGAGCATCTAGTATTCAAGGCAGATAATTCTTTTCCATAATATTAAGGGCAATAAATTCAAATTTTGTAAGATTTGCCATAATTCAAACAAAAATAATAATAACAATTAGAATATTATAGTTAATAAAATAAACCATAATATATAATAAAAAATTATTGTAAAAAATAATTCTTCTTACACACATTTAAAAAATAAATAACCATAAACAAATTATACAATATAATTGATAATGAAGCACAATATAAGGAAATGTAAATATAAACAAACAAGTTTACAAAACACATAAAGCGCAATAAAGATAAAGAAACACAATAAAGAAAATAAATTAATTGATAAAGCAAATAATTCATATGATATTAACAAATAAAACAAATTATATTAACAGCATAAATTGATCAATAAATACACACACATAAACAAAGACAAAGTCATATATATATATAATATTAATTTAAAGAAGGACTAAAAAGATATAAAGATAATATCAAATACATAAACATAAGGAAGGAAAAATAAGTATATCAATCTTCATCAAAATATAAAAACAATAAAAAATAAAAAATAAAGCAACAAATGGTTGATGAAACTAGATTAAATTAAATCACTAATCACATGATTATTTTCAAATGAACGAAATGGAGAAATGCAAAAGACTTTGCGACTAAGAAAGGGAAAGGGGATGAAAATAAAACAATAAAATATAATGCAGTAAATGCATATAAAAAAAACATAAATATGAATGTTGATAGAGCAACAATAAAAAATATAATTATATATAATATAAGAACACATTAATCTAAAAGCTTATACCTTATTTTCAGAGTCAGTTTGCAATGATAACGTATTATAAAATATAATTAATATGAAGAATAGAGAAGAATAAGACAAGAAAAGAAATGTGGAAGGAAACAACGGAGGAAAATTTTTTATTCTTTCAGGTACATGTGCTTTGAACATGATTTTTATTTATAGGCATCTAACTATTAAAGTCTTATTATAGTATTATAAAAAAATAAAGAGGTATACAATGGTGCATTAAGTAGACTTTCAAAGTTATAAGGTATTAACTATAAAAAACCTCCTTCTAAGCTATTCATTAGAATATTCAGGATAAAGAAATCCTAAAAAGTATGAGTTATGCATATCCACAATATAATACATACATACATACATACATACATACATACATAATAGATTATGAGTTATGACCATCAAAACGCCGCCTCGCAAGGTAAAATGAATTAATTAATAAGAAGAAGAAAAAGAAATAAAAAAGGAACATAACAAATAAAGACCCTATAGGGAATATAATTACAGATACAGAACACATGGTCTTTAAATAAGAATGAAGATTTTTGGTCCTTAAGTGTAAAAATTAAAATGTTTATTGATAATTGCTCCCCCTATTGTCTATTGGAAGGCACATTTAGCTATCTCACTAAAATTAAGAAGTTGTAGTTAAATTATTAATTTTATCTGAAAATATAATAAACTTTAAATTTTATCCTATTGAAATAAAAAATTTCAGTTTTGTATTGCATTCTCTCTCATTGTTAACAAAGTAAAATAAGAATAATATTGAAAAAAATGTAATTAATACCCCATAGCCCATAGTATACCTTATATCCTTAAAATTACCCTTGTAAGTTCTGAATTCTAAGTTTCTAAAACACAAATATTCATTCCTTAAAAATTCATCTTTCTCCCTTTTGCCTGGCTCTACCCTCTTCGCCTTTCCACTGTCTAACGTTCAATATTGATGGTCTCAAAACCCATGCTCTCCCTCCCTCATCTTTTATCAGATTAACATCCAATTTGCCCTAATAATTTCATTCGGGTGTAATTGGTATCCTGATTATTTTGTTTGCACTATGTCATTCCAGCGTTTTTAAAGTTGGCATCAACGCATGCTAGGATATTTTTAAATATTTCCATATGTGCAGTCTTCTTCCTTGTCTTCCTCATCTTCTTCACTTTGCCATCAAGTTCTCATGCCCAAACAATCACATTCAATTCGTCGTCTTCGTCTTCATTGTCACTAGGCTCAACAATTCTCTCTATCTGTTTCTTCCTCTTCCTCTTCCTCACTCTTCTCGTCCTCACCATCATTCTGTCATCATCCTCTCTTCATCAAGCCCTAGTTCGAGATTCAACAGCTCATCGTCGTACCCTTCATTCGACAATTTGCTTGTTGTAGATATTGGACCCTCTTGACATCAGATTCTGAGAAGATCTCAGATGATAAATTGTTTGAATTGATATCGAGGATTTGTCTATTATAGATCTGCTTATTGCTCTTTGAGAAGTGAATAAATAAAATGACTTGACTTCCCTCCTACCACATTTTATTAAATTTGAACTGTCTAAATTTAATCTAAATAGCTTATATCAACTTTTTTTCATGTGTATTTTTATTTTATATTTATTAAAATAAAAATACAGCAAAATTATAAAAAAATTTAATAAATCTACTCATCAATCTGGATATACTTAAGATAGTGTAGATATACTTTAGACAGTGCAGTCAACCTATTTAAAATATTTAATATTAAATTTTGACCATCCATATCAAATATAAACTATCCAAATTGATAAGCAGATTTATTAAAATCTTTATATGTTTTTTATTTTAATAAATATAAAATAAAAATAAAAAATAACCTAGATTGTCTAGATTAAATTTGAATAGTCTATACTCCCTCTGTTTAAAAGTATAAGGCATTTTTAATTAAATTTTAATATCTAATAAAGTGGTTACTTACTTTCAAACTAACCCTCTCTTTTCACATTTACCCCTATTAAACACCCTATAATATATATAAAGTTACTATCAATATGGGTACTTTTGAAAAAAAGGTAATGATTATACCTTAAAAATTAAAAATGCCTTACATTTTTTAATATCTAACTCCTTAAAAAATGCTTTATATTTTTAAATGTAAGGAGTCTTTTATTTTTGCTGTGCCAGAGACGCAGAGGAATGGAGACACGGCGGCGGGATTCCGAGAGGGAGAGAAACTGAGTCAGTAGTAAAATAGGATAGGATCTTGTTGATGTTGCCGAGAATAATCAATTTTTGTATGGGAAAGATGCAACTTGTCATTCAGGTGAATGGGATTTGGGTTAAAGGGTATGAATACAAGATGATTACTCTCTCAGTTTTTATGAGAAACTATTACTTTTGATTTATTTTTTTATATAATTAAAATCACATTTTCTAATAAGTATTTATTGCAAACTTCTTAAATTATCTCTTATAATTTTATCATCCACAGTCATAAAAAATAATTAATATAGGATTGATTAACATAATTAATAAAAAGAATTGTAGTCTAATTTTATTTATTTTCAAACATAATTAATATAATTAAATAATTTCTTTAAACTATTTGATACAGTTTTTCTCTCCCATAAATAATAATGGAGGGAGTATTTTGTAACGTCAGTAACACGCAATCATGTACGAGTATGTCGATGATTTTTTTCATTTAAAAGAAGAGATATGAAATAAAACAACGTAGCCTAACTCAACATGTAACTTTTTCCATTTTTTCTTAATGAAGAAGAAATCTTTATTAGGGCCAATTAGAGAACGCAACGAGCAGAGAGAGGGAAAAAGTACATCCACAACTTATAAAACAACCATAACTTCACTAAGAAGGAAATCATCTAGACAACTGATATGCAATAAGAAGCACGCTTTACTGTAAATTTTATTTAGATAATTTGTAAATTTAATCTCTTTCAACGAATATAAACTACATTGACTATATGAAATAAACAGAAGTTTTGTCATAAGTAAATGAAATTTGAATGTTATTTATGGAGTTTTTGTTATAAATTTCATCTAAATAACTTTTGAATTTCTTTTCCTTCAACAATTATAAACCATGTGAACTTTGTAAAATTAATTATCATTTTGTTATTAATAAATAAAATTTGAATGTTATTTATAGAGTTTTTGTTGTAAATATCATCTAGATGACTTGTAAACTTCCTCTCATTTAATAAGTTTAAATAACGAAGATCATGTAAAATGAATAGATAATTTTTTGTTAATAAATGAACTTTGAATATCATTTATAGATGTTCTGCTGTGGATTTCACAAATGGGCAATCCCATATTTTAATCAAAAAGCTTAATTTCAAGAGAGAGACTTTTAAGCTTGTAGAATTATATCAAATTTTATTGGGCTATGCTGGTTACATGGGTTTGCAATGAGATTCTCCTAGCAAAATAGTAAAGCTGTTTTTGTTTTCCATTTTACGTTTTTAATTGCTTTTTTATTACGCACTTGAGGACACTCTATCCCCCCCCCCCTTTTTGACCAGTAACACTCTTCTTTTGCTTTAATTAATGGATGGCATAATAGTAATTATCCAGACAACTTTATGACTTTTAAATTCACGCTCCTCGATCAGTTTCTCTGTATCTCTATTTTAGTTTCTATCGCGGTTCTCTTCGCGCCGCCGTCGCTCTCGTCGCTCGCTCAACTTGCTCTAACTTTCGTGCTCCGGTGACGGTGAGTTTATAACATTAATATGCATTAATAATTGTGGCGAAATCTTATAGAAAATAATCACATCTTGAAACCGATTTATTCTGCAGGTTAGTTGCATGTAGTTTTGATTGTCCCACGTTTATGTCATAATTATGTGGCCTGACGATGTTTTGTTCTTATATAGTAAATCTACTAGGAATTGTTTAATGAGATCAAGCGTACCAAATCCTTTCTGTACTCCCTTAAATATCTAGGCTAGTTGTTTTCATGGCTTGGTACATGTAATTGCTTCCAATTGTAGAATTCAAACAAGATGATTTGCGATCGATTATATGATATTTCGATGCGTCAACCAAAACAATCTCTAAATTTTGAACAGTTTTCAGGAAAACCTTGGTTGCTTTTCAGTTAGTATGGCTTCTTACATGAAGTCGTACTTGAGTTGTTTCTGTTTATCTTTCTGATTACATATGAATTTATTTCTATTTTGTTTGACTTGCCCACGTGGGTGTTTTACTTAAGGGTTAAATAACAATTTAACCTCTAAACTATAGGGTACAAGAGCATTTGAAATCTTAAACTCTTTTTTTTTTTGAAATGTCTCATCAACTTTTAAAAATGATATAATGTAACCCTTGCCACTAATAGAAGTTAACATTAATCGTTGGTTGACCAGAAAATAATGGAAAAAGGATCAAAAATTACATAAAAGAACCAATAAATTTTTTTTGGTGTACTTGTTTGTATTTTTGAGTCCTTTTTTGTGATTTTCTTAGTCCTTTTATGTAATTTTCTTTGTCATTTTGGGTGTATTGTACCGTTTTGCAAAAGCTGAGGAGGAACATTGTAGAAAAAACAAGTTTAAAATTTTAGATGCTCTGAATCTATAGTTTGGGACATAAATTGCCCTTTAATACTTTAATCACAAGATTATTCTGTATTTGGGGCTAATTGTCATTCTGATTGTAGATGGAAGAAACTGATTCAAAGATGTGGCCTCAGTTAATATCTAAAGCTTTGGCAGATACATTAGCTAAACTTCATGAGTTGAGTGAAGCACTTGCAGCATGGACTGAAGTATATAAGGCAAAAGCTGAGAGATATAAAGGTGAGGGAAGCAAGGAGGCCACTTCTTCTTCGTCGTCCGATTATTCTCTTGCTAAGTGTGTGATTATTCTTGACAAGATGGGGCACGTTGGATTAAAAACTGATTTTGTGGCAGCCTTGAAAGCTTTGAAGAGCGACCCTGAATGGAGAGAAATTTTTCTGACCTTGAGTTATGAGAACAGATGCATATGGCTATGTAATGTCAAACATTACCTTTAAGGAGTCTTTATTTTGTTGTTGAACTTTATGATTATGTCATCAAACTTATGAGTTTGTGTCGGTGATGAGGTTTTATGAGCCTTCAGTTGTTATTGAACTTTATGGTTATGTCATTAAACGTACGAGTTTGTGCTTTTATTCTACTGTGGGACGACTTTGTTCATAAACAATGTTATGTCTGGATTAATGAAAATTTGGATTTAGATCAAGTATGTTATTTTGATATTCAAAAATTTATGAATTCATTCATTTCTTATTATAATTCTTTTATAATTTTAAATTATTCTTATATTTTAGTCATTTAAAATTTCAATGATTTCAATTTTTCGTTCTCTAAGTGTTTGCATTGTTAATGCCTTTATTACTTTTGCATTTTGTTTCATTTTTTCTTTTCATCTCTCGTCTATTGAGATAGAAGCAATCTTGTTGTTATTTATTATTTATTTTTTCTTTGAATCTCAACGCATTTTTTTTCCTTTGAAAAATTTTAAACTTCCCAAACAGGATTTTAAATGTAAGAGTTTAAATTTAAAATTCAAATTTAAATTCACCAATTCAAATGCTATCTTAAAAAATATTTCTAAGTTGCTTACTTATTTTTTTATTTGTTGAACCAAGGAACATAGAAATTTTTATAATCTATTACTTTTAATTTTATACATAACTTGTTATAGAAATTTTTTTGTTCTTTGGTTAAAAAAATAAAAAAAAAGAGTAAATCAAATAAGATTTTAGTTTTTTTAATTCAAAACCTATCCTAAAAAACAAATGTTATCAAGCAGGCTTTATTATTTTCTTAGTTCAAAAACTATTTTGAAATTAACATGATCAAACAAGCCTTATTTTTATTATTTATTTAGGAAAATGTAACTTTTAGTCCCTCAAATTTATCTTAATTATCAATTTGGCCTCTCAATTTTTATTTTTAATTAATTTATTCCGTTAAGTTTATTTTAGTTATCAATTTTATTTAATTATTTAAAAATAAGGTTACATTGCTAAAATTTACTGACATGGATAATAGAATATTCATGATAGTAATGTAAATTAATAAAAAGAAGTATAATTATTTAGGTGAGAAAGAAATAGACTATGAATTTCTTTTTTAAACAAGAGAATAAAATGAAAGTCTACCCAAGAGGAGAGTGAATTAGACTTATTAAAAATTTGGCTAATTTTAAATAAATTCAAAGATATGAGTTTAAAAAGATATCACCAATCACAGTAGAGAATAAAGAAAAGAAGCTTGCTCAGATTACTTTTCTTACTTTGGTTCTAACTACTTGAGCCTACATTCAGTCTCTAAGTACCACTACTTGGGATTTTCTCCACTAACTTCACCAAGATTAATTTGGGCTCTTGGTAGCCTCAATATAACCTCAGACTTATACTAAAGTTTGAATCACTCTTCCTTACAAAAGTAATGATTAATCCCTCTTAAATTCTCTGAGTTTAAGATCCTCTATTTCAATAATAGAAAATAGAGATGAATGGAATAAGTTCAAGAAGGAACTATTTTTGTCAAAAACTCTCTAAAAGAGTTGATTTACAATCAATAAAGCTTACTTGTAATAAATACAAATTTAGAAAGTTGGTGAAACAATAATTGAAATAACTCGAGTTGTTTGTTCATATGCATTCTTGTTTACCATCCTTATAAGTGCTTCTATTCATAGCCATATTTCATAAATGATCCATTAGAGTCATCGTCTTCTCTCTTCTAAGCTTTCTTCATAAAAGAGGCAAAGGCATAGTGCTTTGTGGTGGAGTTTCTATAACATCTTCGATTTTAAACGGATTTATTAAGCCCAATTTGTATTATTGAGGTGTGTGGCCAGAGAGGCCTAACGGGGTGTTTGGTTTCAACTTCTACCCTAGATGCGGGTCCAAAGGAGAATCAGGTCACCTAGGAATGAAAGAGGAAGAATTTATGAAAGGGGAGATTTTGTGCCACGCACAGTGGATTGTGGATAAGCCATCGCAACATATGTATGGCAACATGCCTAGGAGATGCTCTCTATGCCATACACCACGGCGTAATGTACATCTGCTATAGTGCATGGTCACATTTCTACTATCATAAATTTACGAAATGAAGAAGAAAACAGAGGAAGAATAAAGAAATATAAGAGAGCAGTGGGAGAGTAGTGCTAAAGAACTTGACCTTTGGAAGTATTTTAGAGATCATAAACATTAAAACTAAGCTTTCTTACTTAAATTCTTCTCTCTTCTTCCATTTTCTTAAAGGTAGAAGTTAGGGTTTGGTGATTTTTGATCCATATAGGCTATGAGTCTGAATTCATTGACTTTAATAGAGTTAATGGGACTAGTTTGAGCTAATGAAACTTAATATTTATGGAGATATGATGATTGGTAATTGAAGGGCATTAAATGCCCGAAAATTCTCATAAATGTATTGGTTGGAAACAATGTGGTCCTATTGATGACCATTTAGAGCTCAATGATGTTAATAAGGGTTAAAGGAAGCTAAGAAACCCCATGGGTACTTTTACATGAGTCGAGGATGAATCTTGAGCATTAAGAAGTGTTAAATTATTTGTGAAAATTAGCCTAAATGTAGATATTGATGAATTATTTTGTGATTGCTTGTAGAGCAATCTTATTGGCACCATTCAAGCTTCTTGAAAGTTTTGGGAGTGAGTATTTAAGGGCTAAAATCTTTAAACTCTCAAAAGTTTGAGGTAACTGAGAGAATTCTATCTTGTGCTTTTGTGTGTTAATTAGTTTATTGATTGATAAGTGATGATTTAATTATGTGAAATTGATTGAATGCAAATGTGGCATGAATTGCTTGGAAATCTACTATAATGATTTTTGCACAAAAATACAATTATTGAAAATGTTATTAGTGGATTTTCATATTGGGATTTGTTGCGAGTTAAATAATTGATTGTTATGGGAGTACAACGATGTGATTTTCTTAGAGTTCAATGATTTGAATTGAAAAGAGTTCAATGATTTTGAAATTTATGGAGTTCAATTATTGTGAATATGTGAGGTACAATGATTATGAAAATATAGAGTTTAATGACTTGTTTTAATTAGAGTTCAATTATGTGAATTATGATAGGGTACAATGACTATGTACTTGAGGAGTTCAATGACATATGTGTTGTGGAGTTCCATGATATGTGTTAAATGTGAATTATTACATGATCATCAGAGGTAGGAGTTCACCTAAGAAGAGTAGAGAATTCAACCCATGTGGTAAGACTTCCATTCGAGTTGATGGCTTTCCTGGATTGTGTATATATATATATTGTCCCACTGCTTCAAACTATTTTCTTTTTATTAAAAAAACAAAAAGACATGCGGATTTAGGCAGAATAAATATAGTATGCTAAAATCGAGGGACTCGAACCTAGCTAACTATCGAATGGTTCAATGAGGAAGCTAGTTTAGGGAGGATGACACCCCATATTGTGAGATAATAGGGAAAACTGTGTTTCATAAGTGAGTCGGGTAAGCCTTGGCTAGGTAATCCCTTCACAAATATTTAAGCTAATGTAGTCCTAGATTATAGACTATTCCAGTGTGTTATACCCCACGGTTTCATATCAGAGGAATAAGAAGGATATAAGGGAGGTATGATCATGTATATAGTGAAAAAGGACATATGGTTGATATATTGTGACTCCAATGAAATAATGCACTTAGAAATCTTGTTGATTATGTAAGAGCATTAATTTGTTTGACATTCTATGAATATGAATCATTGCAAATGAATATGTGGATATTTGTTCTTGAGACATGTTTACAAATTGATTTTTAATCATAGTCTCATATGTATGTCTTAAAGATACTAAGAAGGTTGAGTTAAACTCTTGAACATGTCAATGCTTTGTGATTATTTATAATTTGCCACTTGCATTTAAATTAATTCACATGCATTAGTATAAATTAGTTGGACCTTGGTTACTGAATGATTATACTCACCCTACTATTTTTAATATTATAGGGAATAGTTCAAGAGGATCGAATAGAGGAAAGCAACCAGAGGCTTAGGACTGCGATCTTATTTTGTAGGCCTCTTTATTTTTGAGTCATTATGTGTATTTGACAATTGAAATTGCCAACTGGGAGTAGTCCATTTTTTGTTCTTACTTGCACTATGTTTTTTATGAGTTGTAAGTGTATTTTCGACCCTAGGGAGTGAGTTTATGAAATATGATATCTCTGCTAGGCCAAAATACTAATACAAGTAAGAGTTAGGCATATTATGTGTTGATTTTGAATTATTTGATGAAAAATGTGTTTAAACTCCCCCTTATATGTTTTTGAGATTAAGGGGTTAAGTAGTGAAATTGTGAATTATAAGTGTTTGATATGGTGTGGTGTGTTGCACAAGTGAGTTTTAGTGTATTGCATGTGGTCTAAATGGTGTCAATGGCTTTTGACTTTTAGTGAATGAGTTGGACACTTGGTTTTGTGAAAAAATTTAAAAAAGTGCAAGTTTTAAAAAGAGTGTCCAAATTTTGATTGCATAATTATTTGATCATGAGACTAAAGCCATTAGTTAGAACTCGAAAAGAGCTTTTCATAGACACCTAGTTCTCATCAATCAGACGTTGAATGGAGAAATAGGATGCATCAAAAGTTGCCCCAAAAGCTATCAAATTGACAGCAAAAGTTTGCTGTCATGAAACGTGCCACGAGCTACGGCACATGGCACAGAGGTGAACATGCTATGGTGTATGTTCAACGAGCCACGACACACGCCCTAAATTTTTGTAGAATTATTTTGTTTTCAAATTCTTTTACAAATGCACTCCCATTTGAAATGATTCCATGCTTTCACATAATTTGTGAACTCTGATTTTTTTCTTTTAAAGATAATTGGGAATGGTTTTAGTTTTGAAAACTTAGGATTCCAACTTTCCTACCCATTTGCAACTTGATATTATGTTAATTATCCTAATCCAATCCCTTAATTAATTAAGATTTAGAGTTAGTTTGGGTTAAAAAGAAGGAGGATATTGCAGTTTCTCTCTCATGAGAAGTAAGAAAAGTAACGTTTCTTTTTAATAAATGTTTTGACAAAGTTAGGTGAGAGATTATTTTGGAAGAACAAAGCTATTTCGAAATAATAATTTTAGGGATAAGAAAAACTAGTGTTTAATCCAAGCCAAATTTATGTTTTAAAGATTGTAGGATGTTAAAATGATTAATGCAACTTGCAGAAAGCAAAA